GAATATATTTTTTTATTTCTATTGATATATATGCAACAAAAAACTGGAGTATTTTTTCGAAAATTTTCTGTTGAATATATTTTTTTATTTTCATTGATATATATGCAACAAAAAACAGGGACATTTTTCGAAAATTTTCTGTTGAATATATTTTTTTATTTTCATTGATATATATGCAACAAAAAAACAGCGACCTTTTTTTGGAAAATTTTAGTTGAATGTATTTTTTTATTCCTATCGATATATATGCAATAATCATTAATGTTATTATTTTTAACACACTAATAAAGTAAAAAGACATTCACTAAAATAAATTCGTTCCAAAAGATTATCTTCTGCATACATTGGCATGAATGCCAACTGAAATTAAACGAAAAAATAGCAGTTTTTGAATATCAGGTTAGCTTGAAATATGTACATTAGCGCGTTAAAAAATTCTTCAAAATAGTCTAAATTAGATCAGGTGTATCAACTAATTGCAATTGAAGAAATTGATATATATTTTTATTATAACCAGCAACAATCCTGCGTTTCAAGTGAGCTTATCCTATAAATTTAGTGGCAGACTAGATTTAATTTAGGCCTACATTCGCAATCAAATAATATTATATTTTAAAAATTGTTACAAAGTCGAATTATAAAATTGTAAAAGGGATTAATTGTTATCAATATATCATTGATTTCTCTAATTATAATGGACGAATTAAACAAAATGAAAAAGTTCGATATTGAAACATTTTCAATTTATTCAAAGAATAGATAATTTAATCACAATATTTCCAGCTTATTTAAAACTAATAAATATAACAAAAAAACTTATCCGTGCGAGTGTAGGAGGCTCTATATATATACACCCACGCACCGCTGGCCCCATTCATAAAAAATGCCATAGGCCCAAAAATTGTGTGAATGGTGAGCCTAAAAAGCGCGTGTAATGAATGTATTGTGAGCACGTCACTGTCGGCCGCTGTTGACAACTTGCTTGTTCAACTTTTTATTATAAGTTGAAGTTGAGGTTGAGTGGGCGTACGAAGAGGTATACGTGCGGGCGCTCGTGCTTAGCGCGTGCTTAGTGAAAGGCGAACGATTTTTTAATGCTGAGTAAAACGCGCGCATTGTTGCGTGGCATGCGCACTCTTGTAGGCCTATATATGCGTGCATTGTGCAGGCCTATACTTGCATTGTATAGGCCTATGCGTGCATTGTGCAGGCCTATGCGTGCATTGTGCAGGCCTATGCGTGCATTGTGCATCATTTATGCCGCATAGGCTTATATATAGACCTAAGTTACATTTATAGGCCTATATAGACTGTGCATTGCATTGGCCAATATAAACTGCACAGTACATAGGCCTATATTAACTGCACATTGCATAGGCCTATAAAGACTGTACATTACATGGGCCTATAAAGACTGTGCATTGCATAGGCCTATATAGACTGTACATTGCATGGGCCTATATAGACTGTACATTGCATGGGCCTATATAGACTGTACATTGCATGGGCCTATATAGACTGTACATTGCATAGGCCTATATATAATGTACATTGCATCGGCCTATATAGACTGTGCATTGCATAGGCCTAAACAGACTGTATATTGCATAGGCCTATATAGACTGTACATTGCATAGGCCTATATATAGACTGTACATTGCATAGGCCTATATAGACTGTACATTGCATAGGCCTTTATAGACTGAACATTGCATAGGCCTATATATAATGTACATTGCATAGGCCTATATAGACTGTACATTGCATAGACCTATATATACTGTATATTGCATATGCCTTTAAATACTGTACATATTGCAAAGTTCCATAAATATACACGTGAGGAATTCGATTCGTTAGATGTGCCGAAAAATCCAGTCTAACTGAACTACAGGTAACATCGGATATTACGATCACCACAGTATGCACCACATTCATATCACATTGTACATCCATTGTACATCCATTGTACATCCATTGTACATCCATTGTACATATATTGTACATCCATATTATTGTACCCACCCACCCCTGGGAACAATCCCCACCCTCGTTCACGCCGCTGCGCGTTCTCTTTCAACGCGAATGCCAAAAGTCAAAATTCAAATTTCGATTTCGTCTCGGCGAATTACTGAAGTTCAAGTTGAAAAGGAAGTGGCGTGCCGTGGCGAACTGAACATTTTCAGCCGTCGGAATGGGTTCGAAAATTTGTTATCTAAATATTAGGTTGTAAACGGAGATATATTAATTTCTAAGTACAGTGATACATTGAAGGTTTTTATTTATAAATGTTATAAGGTTTGCAATATTATGATTGCTTCATCCGATTTTAAACGAAATTAAAACTCAACTGTACAATAATAAATGAATGTAAAATAGAGCACTAAGAAATGTAACTGTTCATAATTGTGAAAATTTTATTCTTCAACAAACCACGAAAGAACTGTGTAGTTCTACGTTATACGCATATACGAAAATAACGTACGAAGTTGTAGTAAATACAGCTACTGCAACATGTATTGTAAAACACGCTATATATACAATATGCATCAACATGCACTGCGTAAGCATTTCCGTTTTAACATTTATTTCTAAATTTGGTAGGCACATTCATGGCTATCGTAATTTTTTTTATTTCACATTTTTGCTGCCGAATTATCGTTTTTTTCCGCTAAATTTATAACAATGTTATTGATAGAAAAAATCTATCTTCAACATCAACGCGTGATTGTTGAAAAATATCTACAAATTTTGGACGTGCCAAAATTGCATTTTTCCGCCTGAATGCAAGATTTTTGCGGATGTGGCTGGACAGAATGTGTATAATTGAGCGCTAAGCAGGGCGGCTTAGGCCTAGGCAGCGGACATGTGATACGCAGGCCTAAAAATGTCGCCGTTGCGGGGGAGGATGGAAAGAAAGGCAGCGTAATCGCCAGGGAATAAATGGCATCAATGAACCACTCGAACCGCGATCATGAGAACCGCTCTCAAAAGAGGGCAAGCGGTCGATAATGAGGAGAGAAACACGATAAAAAGAGGGCAGGAGGTCGATAATGAGGAGAGAACTGCGATAAAAAACAGGGTATAGGGTCGATAATGAGGAGAGAACCTCGATAAAAAGAGAGCAAGCGGCCGATAATGAGGAGAGAACCACGATAAAAAGAGGGCAAGCGGTCGATAATGAGGAGAGAACCACGATTAATAGAGGGCAAGCGGTCGATAATGAGGAGAGAACCACGCTAAAAAGAGAGGAAGTGGTCGATAATGAGGAGAGAACCGCGATAAAAAGAGGGCAAACGGTCGATAATGAGGAGAGAACCACGCTAAAAAGAGAGGAAGTGGTCGATAATGAGGAGAGAACCACGATAAAAAAAGGGCAACCGGTCGATAATGAGGAGAGAAACACGATAAAAAGAGGGCAAGCGGTCGATAATGAGGAGAGAACTATGATAAAAAGAGGGCAAGCGGTCGATAATGAGGAGAAAACCACGATAAGATTACCATAAATATAAATTTTTACTAATCACAGAAAAAGAAAGCATACGCACGATAATCGGCCATATTAAACGCTTATATTTCTTTTCTTTTTCAATAGAAAAAAATATGGCAGAGCCCAGCCAGTATGTTGAAAATTAATATGGTCGTTTCACTGGTTGAAGTAGCACCCATATTGACTTATATTGTTTCGAGTTAAAAAGCTAATTAAAATGTTGGGATTATCTATTATACATTCATTTTCTTCATTCATTTTAGATGAAGCACATTTTAAGTCGCGTGTAAGGTTTGTGAAGAAATTATCAGCAAAAACCCAAGTCATTTATCTAAGGATTACCTTTATTAATAAATTAAAATTATGGAAGCGTTAATTAATGGATCAGATATATAGGAGGGGTTAATTACTCAATAGTGGGCACTAATTTAGTAATGGTGGATTGTGAATAGTGACTAATTCATATGTATGTATATTATGCAACATGCAGCATGCATACATCGTGCACTTCGAATCCTGTGAATAATTCAATATGTATGTCAATGTGAATGTATACAGAAACTGTACAGTGTTTTATTCTGTATACACATAGAGAAGTAGAGCTAAAAATCGGTACATTCCTTTTTTGTATGAAGTTTATTTGAATGAACGCATGTATTAAACCACATGAGTGTAGTACAGTTATACTAAACAATAAAGTACACAGTACTTTCACACAGGACTGTACACATTAGTTGTACTCTAGCGTGGGTGTGTGAACTATACAAGGCTTTGTATGAAGGGCTCGGCAAACGGTCGCCTTTTGTGTGACCTGTGTAACTTGCCAATAAAACAGACCGACTACACACCACACAGGGTCGATGCTTTCATTCTTCGTCAAATTTATGTATAATCTGTATTAGCTGTATTCTGTTGCCCTTATTCTGATTATTAAATAAATAAAGAAAAATTCAAAGGAATAAAATTTAATACAAGGTTAGGTAATGAACAATAAATAATTTATGTATAAAAATTACATTGAAGTTTTTACTAAAAATAGCCTGGTCATATAGACTTAATGTTTGTTTATTGGATATTGGAAACGATGCATGAATATAAAATGACGTCTAATTACGAACAATATATATTTTTAATGTACAGTATTGTCCCCTTGAATATTGTGTGAATGATGACAAATTCATTCGCTGTATTAGTTTTTCTTCATAAGTTTTTTCGCGAAATTCTCCCTCAAAATAAAATTAATGGAAACTAATTAAATTGACTAATTAATCAAAGAATTCATTGGTGAAGTGCCAACGAAGTTCCTTAATTAATGAATTCATTCACTCATATTCATGAGTTTTGAAAGTCGTATTTTTAACTCATGTTCTCGCACATTTTTATTTATTAATCAATGCCACTAATTCATGATAATTAATACAGGAAAATCTGCCCAAAATAGAACAATGCGTCGCCTCATCGATCCGCATCGCAGATTTTTGTGCATTTTCGGCTTTTCTGCGTCGATGCTTCATGTTTTTTGCGGACATCGGATTATGGGCGACAGGGCGGCGTAGGGGTGGCGTATGGGTGGCGTAGGGGTGGCGTATGGGTGGCGTATAGGTGGCGTATGGGTTGCGTAGCGGTGGCGTTTGGGGTGCGCGTATGGGTGGCGTAGGGCGGCGTATAGGTAGCGTATGGGTGGCGTATGGGTGGCGTAGGGGCAGCGTATAGGAAGCGTATGGGTGGCGTATGGGTGGCATAGGGGTGATGTATGGGTGACATAATAAGGGCCACGTATGGGTTTTGCAGGGTGGCGTATAGGTGGCGTATGGGTGACGTATGGGTGGCGTAGGCGCGGCGTAGGGGTGGCATGGGGGTGATGTATGGGTAGCATAGGTGTGGCGTATGGGTTTTGCAGGGTGGCGTATAGGTGCTGCGTTTGGGTACGTGGCGTCCTTTCGGCGTATGGGTGGTGTATGGGGGCGTGTGGGCGGCGTAGGGGCAGCCTAGGGACGGCGTATGGGTGGTGTATGGGGGCGTAGGGACGGCGTAGGGGTGACGTATGGGTGGCGTAAAGGTGGTGTATGGGGGCGTAGGGACGGCGTACAGTCAGCGAAGGGGCGGCGTATGGGCGGCCACAACAAGGGCCACTCCAGTCCCGCATTTTTTTCCATTTTTACGTGTTTTATCGGACGAGATTTCCGCGTTCCGGGCGAGGGCGCACGAGGGCAGGACGATGAGGGAAGACCGAGGGCTGCTCGAGTTCATGATGCGTATCACTGATACACGTCACGCGTATCAGTGATACACGTTCTGCGTATCACTGATACACGTCACACGTATCACTTATACACGTCACATGTATCAGTGATACGCGTACTGCGTATCACTGATACACATCGCGCGTATCATGTGATACACGTAATGCGTATCAATGATACACGTCATGAGTATCAGTGATACATGTCACGTGTATCAGTGATGCACGTGTTGCGTATCAGTGATACACGTACTGCGTATCAGTGCTGTACGTCGTTAGGTATATAACGATAATGACATCATCGTATTATTGATATATATAAGTTTATAAGGAGATTAATCATATGCAAATCAAGGAATTAGTCACTCATAATTAAGGCAAATTATATAAAGTAATCATCGGTATCATTGTAAGCGCCAAAACGCAGATGCATATAATTACAATGAAAATGCATCGTGGATCATTTACTATACACACGTTCCTATATGTAAAGACACGTCACGTATCAACGTACACATCTACGGCACAATATCAGCACCAGACGCATCAATAATTAATGCATTATCATTTATCACAATATAGCGAACAAGTATATTTATCACATATCTTGATATATATATATCAATATATGTGATGCCTCATGCATCAATTTATAGCGTAAAGTTCACACCCTATATCATCCAATAATTCATATTTGATTGAGACTGGCATTCCACACAAATAAACGAGTCTTATAACCTATAATTACACAGATCCTAATTATAATTACAAAAATCAACAAAAATGTATTCTTGAATATAAGTTTTATGAATGAATTCAGTACAATTTTTAGAGATCACTGATATGAAGTAATCATTATTCAGGGAGCCTGAATTTGTAACCCCAAACTCAAAATTATATCAGTGGCTCATAATAATTATAAATTATATCAGTATACTCATTATATTTTAATAATAGACTAATTCTCGGCAACGAATACTAACAATATATGTCAGTATATTCGTTGCTGCACGAAGCGTGAGTATATTAACGTATCACCGCGTATATTCGTGAATGTTTATGACGTATATCAATTTACTTATCTTCTATATTAGTACGCGTATACGCTTATATAATTTCCAATCGTACCTATATATACGTGTATATCATTTCCCCACGCACTTGTCTGCTTTCTTATAGAATATATCTGATGGATATTTGAAAAAAAATATCCAGCAGACATTTTCCATGTATGTATTTCGATGCGGCCAAAAAAATTGAAGTCCACGGGATATTCTCGCCAGATTCTGACGGGATTTTCCATTGTCCGTCTTTGTTCACGTGCGTATTTTCTCTAAATTTTCTGATTCATTTAAGTGTTTTTTATGATGATGGTTATTTGTGGTGTTTCTTCAATTATTTAGTGGCGTCATTATATTTGTTAATTTAATAATTTATAATTTACATTCACGCAATTTACTCATTTTTTAACTTTTTCTAAAAGAAAATTCCATTCGAGTACAGGTTATGTAAATTCTTGTATATGAACCTTAGGAATTTATCAATATTTTAATTTAATTAATCATATTTAATTCATATATATTAACTAAAAATTTTTGTGCATTAAAATCTATGACTAAGCAAAGTTTGCATAGCCATCACTTAGGCCTGACCGTAGGCCTGTATGGTCAGCCATATTGAATTTTTACGGCCACTTTTGATTGGTCAAGAAGAAAATAAATCTTGACCGACTATTGGCTGACTGACCATCAATGGCAGCTGGTGACTGGCGAGCTGACCATCTGTTCTTGACTGGCCATTGGTCACAACGATGACCTCAAGCGCAGCGTTTGACCAATCAGAGCGCAGGCTGGCCTATAGGCGATATTTTTAGCGAAATTTTATTCATCGAAGCCATGCAAATTATTTCAATAAATATTATCTATTATATAAGGAAGCATTTAAGGGCCTTACTCATGAGTTTATATAAGCTCCGTTCCAATCCAAGGAAAATGATGAAGGCATATAAAAACTTAAAAGCCCCAAAAATAAAAATTATGGAATATAATTTAACAAACACATATACACAAATGATATAATACACAATATAATATACTAAAAATAATATAGAATATATTGGATAATTTCTCACACTTTATCCTTTACTGAAATATAAACCTCAAGTGTCAGGAAAAGAATTAGCATTTTTCAAATTAAATTTTATAAACGGTGGGTGAGCAGGATAAAATTAAACCCGCGGTATCACGGATACGGTCTTAACCGGCGGACAAATTTCCACGGGCGGTATCCGTGATACCGCGGCGCACGTGGATCGGAAAAGAAAAAGAAATCTAAAGGATTTCCACGGGGACCGATTTCCGCAGCGCGGCGACCGTTGGTCGGCATTGATTTTTTTCATTTGAATAAATTCCAGCGATTGTTTTTACTGCCGCTGGCCCAGGGGGGGTGGTCGCATTTTTTTGCTGAGTCATGGTCACTGGTCACGTGATCAAGGTCCTTATTTGCTATTGGCTGATGACCAATACTACGCCAGCCAACCAGTGAATAATGGCCAACTCTTTTAGTTCCCAAACAAATAGTAAAGTCGCATTCTGCTTGGCCATAAGAATTCTGAAAAATTTCAGCTGATTGATTATTTGAAAATTTTCGAAGTTGTACAGAAAAAGAGAAACTATAACCAATAAACAGAAAATTCGAAGATACTGCATTGCAGATCATTGTACAGCATCGTTGTACACTGTATAGTATAATATTATTGTAGAACATCATTGCACCGCACGGCTGTATGGTGACAACATTACAGCCACGTCACATATAAAGTTATAAGCACCCAACAACTTCCATGTTATACCATGATACTGACATAACTGTTACCCACAAAAAAAAACATAAAAAAGATTAATTCCACTATGCCGCTGCTCTATATTTCGTTGTAATGTTTTATAGATTTAAAGTCAGCACGCAGAGATCGAGCCCGGACATTGGTCAGCCGCCGCCCGGCCTGACCAATGTCCGGGCTGACCAGCGGCTCAAGCCGGCGCTGGACTCGGGCTGTTGGACTTGTAAGGCCGGCGCTGATTGGCCGCAGCTGGACAAAGGCTGACCAATGAGCGTTCAGTGTCCAGCTTTAAGACTTAAAGCTGACCATTTCGTCCACGATGTCCACCAACTTTTGCTTGTGTACTTTGGGACATCGTTGTCGTCATTGGCAACGAATGGAATTTCCTTTTATATTTATTTCCCCTAAGAATTGATTGTATCAGTAATTAATATATTGCCGTAGGATATCATAACGTTGTTGTTGCCGTTGGATATCATAACGTTGTTATTGCCGTTGGGATATCACAACATTGTTATTGCCGTTGGGATATCACAACGTTGTTATTGCCGTAGGATATCATAACGTTGTTATTGCCGTTGGGATATCACAACATTGTTATTGCCGTTGGGATATCACAACGTTGTTATTGCCGTAGGATATCACAACGTTGTTATTGCCGTGGGATATCACAACGTTGTTTTGCCGTAGGACGTAGGATATCACAACGCACAGCCCAGCGGATATTCCTGAAAATTCATACGAGATCAACCGAGACTTTTTTATCAAAAGACTTTATAGTGCAGGATACTGAAGGATATTACACAAATTACAAAAATGCGATAATCTAATTCAAAAAATGGTAGATTACTCACAAATCATTAGATGGATGTTACCGAAGGTTATAGCTGAGCGATATTAAGAGGGGAAATACATTCGATGTTTCCTGATATCGTTGAATGATATTCCCTCGATATTAGAGGGAATATCACCGATGAAAAATTAATCAGAAATCAAAAGGATATCACAGCGGATATCACTGGCTTACAACGACTACAATTGTGTGATGATAATTATATAAGGAATGTTATTGATAAATTGAGCTCATCATTGATTATGCAATATGCATCACTGATTATGCATATATGATTATCATCAAAGGATTATACCAGGAAAGTTCCGAGTGAGGATAACAACGTCTGTCTCTTCTTAATAGAAAATTGTGATGATTAACATGGCGGATATTAGGACAGAATTTGCAAGGGATATTCAAATGGAGATCACAATGACTTACTGATGGCGTGACTCATATTAAATTTATTATATGATCTATCGTAGATGAATAGAAAACATAATGTTTTCTATACATAAATAAATTGGAAATAAATTAAATTGAAATCGCACACGCTTGTCCTCTATCGCTTGTTGCCGCCACTCTTTTAATCCCTTGTTTATCATCTATCAGCTCTTCTCATTTGAAGAGGAACTGCTAGCAAAGAGCAGCATCGTGCCGAGGGAAGGAAGAGAGGGACGGGAAGTGAGGGGAAGTGAGGGGAAGTGAGGGTCATTATATGGGCCGCGTCCCGGTTTCTTGTTTGGTTTGCGTCTTTTCAAGAAGTTGAAATGTGTATAATATTAAAGATCATTTTGACGAAAATAAAAGTGAATAATATAATAAGGTATCATGATGAGCAACGTACGATTGTTTATATAATTAAAAAGGTACAAAAATAAATAACAATAATATATCAAAAGGTATGAGACATAAATACATGAAGATATAGGTGCAATTTTTTGTCAAAAAATATAAATGGATAATAATTAAAAATAATATAATAAAAATAAACTGTCTATATGTGGACTCAGCGATTTAAGAAACTTTATTGCCTAAATTTAGAGAAGCTATAAAGTTTTCCTGTTTACCTCAGCGAGCTTTCATTCTCATCATCAAAATTTTTTTTCTTTTTGCAATAAATTTTCGAAGAAATTCGTGGCCGTGAAGCGACTTCATCCGCGGTCCAGTCGCAAAGGTCGATGGTCCCGTAGGAATAGCATTACGTGGCGCTCTTGATGCCGGATTAAAACG